AGTAGAAGTCATCAGTTTTCGCACACCCTCTACCCGCACATCAAGTGTTGCGTCCCTGGAAAATATTTACAACTAAAGTAATTAAACAATATTTGCAAAACAACAAAAAATAAAATAAAAAAACCAACAAAGCGCCAACCAACAACCAATCCATCAAAGCATAACATTTGCGACGAGGCAATTTTCACAAAACCAGCTGTGATTTATCAGATGAACAGCAGCGATAATGCGCACAAGGCAACTGGAAACGTGAGTTGACGCCCCCGAAAGTACAAAAAGAAAAATAATAAAACGGAAAAGGAAAAACTAATGGAAGCAACAACAAAGAGCAGTCGTTGCAGGTTGTTTACCGAGGCACTGCATTCTTGTTGATCAGGTGTTTTGTAGTTGTAGAATCGCACTGAGTCGGCGCTGCCTCAATGGCGTTGCGGTAAGAGCCTTGAGTGCGTTGAAGGTGATTTCGGTTGAGTGGGGTGCATGGCGGAACAAAAGTCGTGAAAAAATAATTCACACCAACGCCAAAGATGCAGAGCCGCTAAATGCGCTGCTGGCGGTGGCGCTCAATTTGCTTGCGACTACAACTATTCAAATGGCTGCACGTGCAGTGAGCAGGCAAAAAAACCCAAGAAACTATATAAATACATCTACATCCATATACGTCACATGTAGAGCATTGTTGTTGCATTGTTGTTGCATTGCGTTGTTGCGAACACGAAAATTTCTTTAACATAAAATATTTTGACTTTATTTTTTATTGTTTATATATATATAATTTTTTTTTGTTTTTTGTAAAATCTCTTTAACAACAACGCTGTTGTGTTCTACAAAACTCCGATAGAAGTTTGCCTGGCGCATGCGCAACACGTGGCCTCTAATGCACGCTGCAACTGTTGCTGGCCCTGGAGTGCTCGGACGAGTTCGCTGCTAAAATCTTTTGTTGTTGCAGCTCATCGTTTACGTTGGACTTGATGCGACGATACTCTATGGCATTTGTGGCAAGCAAATGGTTGCAAAGAAAAGACAACAGTAATAACAACAAGAACAGAAAGCGTTAAAAGTAAGTGCCACAATGGCTTATAAGCCTTTGTGCCGCATCACCTGAAGCTCCAAAATCGCTGAGGCGGCACGTAGTTGGCAAGCACTTAAAATGAAAATAAAAAAACAAAAACACCAATAACAGCAACTTGGCACTCCCGGCAAACGTGCTGCACACACAAAATATATGCAACAACAATAATAATATTCAAATATACTTTAATGACAACTAAACGTTTTCGGTATTCGCGTGATGTTTTCATTTATTGCTTTGTGCAGCATTTGCACTCGTCGCAAAACAAAAACAATGACGCAGAATCAATAGGCCGAAAAGGGTAGTCTACCGACAAGCAGGAGCTCGCTGCATAAACAAATGGTCACTGTGTAAGCCTAAAACGTAAATAAAGTTGATTTTTTTAGAAAGGTTCCAACGGCCCCAAACGACCTCAAACGGCAAGTGAGTGGCAAATGGCGTTGCCGAGTAGCTGAACAGTAGCCAAGCGACTAACTGTGAGCGCACACTAAAAAAAAAAACAGCAGCAGTAAGTAGGCATTGACTATTTACATATATTTATACCCTTAATAACTAAATAAAAGTTCATAAAAATATGAAAGCTTATTTTAATTGTTTAATTTAAAACTATTTTATTTTGTCTTATTTTAATTTATTTAAATTTGTTTCGCTTTATTTCATTTAACATACATTTTTTTTATTCTTTTATTTTATTTTCCTTACTTTATTTTTCATTTTATTTTATTGGATTTTATTTTATTTATTTCGTTTTGCTTTGCTATAATTTACTTTATTTTATGTTTATTTTATTTATATTTATTTTGTTTTTTTGCTTTATTTTACCACATTTCTATTATTATTTTATTTAGTTTAAGTTATCTTACTTTTAGTTATAGTTAATTTTATATTGTTTTATTTTATTTTATTTTATTTTATTTTATTTTATTTTATTTTATTTTATTTTATTTTATTTTATTTTATTTTATTTTATTTTATTTTATTTTAATTTATTTCATTTTATGTTATGTATTGAATTTTCTTTAATTTTTTTATTTTGTTTTAGTTCGGTTATTAATTTTATTATTATTATTAGAGTAAATGTCAGAAAGTTTTAAGTGGAATTAGTTAATCCTTGAGGGTGGTATAAAAAAACTTTTTTTTGCTGAAACAGTCTTTCCTAGTCCTCAATCCGGCAAAATAGTTTATATATTTTATTTTAATTTTTACTACATCCACAGATTAAAATCAAAATTTATGACATAGGTTTTATTTATGGATAATAAAAATTGTTCTCTTTATTTGCTTCATAAGCTGCATTTGAGTCCCACAAAAGCATCGCTGATTTCTGCATTGCTATCCGTTAGGAAATAGAAGGCTTAGTATGTGCACAGGATGACCTTGCAGCCCCTAGAGGTCTCTGAAGAGTGAAGAACTTAGTAGAACCCAAGTATAATTTTCGAGTATATAACGTAAACCTAAGCTCGATCGACAATCTGCTATCAAACTCTACCTACCTCTTCTGAATGATGCTAGCTAAGGTGACTTCGCATTTTCAGCTGCCATCTGCAGGATGTCTGAAGCTAGCTATGAAATTATGTTGTAGTTTTGATCGAGTTTGTGTCGCCTTGTTTCAATTGATTGGACTGAGAATCCGTGTGTTCGTTGGAGGAGTAGTTCTTTTTTTTTTTCGAACTACTTTCAATACTTATTTTCTTTTTAACCGGTTTTCATACTGCTGCACTATCTGCTCTTGGCGCTCGATATCCTCTTCATCAATTTAATGGAAAAAAAATTAATGAGAAATACATAGAATTTCAGATATCACATAGAAAGCCAAATATTCGAAGCGTTTTTCAAAATTGTATTGAACTTCAAAAATCTCTCCAATATTTGTACATTAAAATTTTTACTGTAAATATTATTTGCCCAAATGATTACTAAAGTCCAGTGACTTTTTCGAGTCACAAAAGCAAATACAAAATACGACAAAATTGCGGCTGGAAAAGTCATCACGGTGGCTACTACGCTTACGCTCTATTAAGCTGAGAACAACTTAGGCAAATAAAATGCCAACTGAATATTAAGTAATCGACAACCGCAGTGTTGTGCGGGTGTACATAATAGAGATAAGCAAAGTAAAGCAAAAATGAGTGACGTATATGGACAGAAGTGAGAGGGCGGGTGGGTAAGAGAGGTGGACACGAAGTGCTAATTGCCAGGTGCGTAACGACGATACAAGTAGCTGTTTGTATATACTCGTATGCAATGATCTTCACATATAGTGACAACACGTTTCTAGTGGCGATGGGGGTGGTGTAAGCAACACAGTTAGACAGTAAAGTAAATAATAAATACGTGTCGCTATATGTAAAGGCATTTATTAGGTGCGAAAACGTTATCGAATGGACTAACACATACATAAATATATATATTGCATGTGGACTTGTGGTGTATGAGCACGTAAAACACAGATTACTCGGCAAAGGCTTACAGTTTTTATTTTTTTGCTGCTACAATTCCCGCACAAACGCCATGGCATTGTTCATTATTACCTTGTTTATGTTTGTGTTTTGTGTTTTGTGTTTTACCTTGCCTCATTGCGGTGTGGTCACAACGGAAACGTGCCACCGCTGAAGCTGTTTTATTAGTATTTTGTGGTGCTGTCTCAAAATTGAATTGTGCAGGCGCTCGTGGAACACCCAGTAGATGTGTTTGCCAAGATTATTAACAGCTGTGCGCGTGATGGTATTGAGGCGACAAGATGACAAGGCGACCAGCAGCAGGCGACTTGCAACTTCCAAACACCAACAGCTATTGTTGCCAGCGTGCGGTTGCGGTGACTTAATGTCAGCGTTAAGCTGCTCGTAAATCCAAGTGGCTGGCAGGCGTTGAGCATTAGCTAGCCTTAAACTCAAAAGTCAGGTGAAAAATTGAGTTTGAAAAAAAAATTAAAATAAAAAAAAATAAAAATAAAAAAATTAAAATAAAAAAAAATATAATTAAAAACATTAAAAATGCAAAAAAGCAATTAAAAACGAGTTGAAAAACGTATTTTTTTTGTGGAATAATTACTTTGCTACAACAATTTTTTATAAAAAAAAAGACTAAAGATCTTTATCTAAATTTTTTCATTGAATACACATAAACTATACGTTTTCCTAAAATATCCGCAACGTGCCACAAAACCAGGCAATATGTTGTTAAATTTACAAAATGAAATAACTTTGGACACCTGCCGCTTGGAGCATTTGGCTAATTGACAAATGCAACTAATTTGAGCCTTAAAAAAATGTTAATAAAATTAGAATTAGTATTATTTTTGAAAATATCGCATTTATAGTTATGAATTTGGGAGCTCTTGGCGCAGACAAGCGCCGACAGCATGAGGTCACATGAGGTATGATTCATTCCCAATGTTTCTTAAGGCCTAAACAGGTCTTAAGACGACTCCAGTGATTGCACTATTTGCATCTAAATGAGATAAAAGAATGATGAAGTTGTCTTTGGTAGTAGAAAAAGTTTGCTGTACCAGGTATGAGTTCATCACCAGCCCTGATTGGAAGGACTTTAAGCAACCCTGCTGCAAGTTGTTACCGCGTTGATGCACTGAGGCTAGAATGATATACCTGAAAGGGTGACAGCCCTTGGCCGAATAAAGTTGGGTTCAACTCTATTGTATCGGTTTTTTGTTGTTGTCTTAAGAGGTTACATAGGTTTTAGAGGCCAAAAAATAGCTTATTTTCTATAATTTTTTTAAAAGATACTAAATAAAGCACACAATTTATTTCGTTTACACATAAAAGTACAATATGTGGACAACATTTGTTGATAATTTAAATGAAAAATAGTATAAGTTAGAGCGTTGGCAGTGTCGTGAAGTAGAACGTCCACAAGAAAGTGGTTTCGCGGTAGTCATGATAACTTTTTCATTTTTTATTTGAAATCAGAAATCCAAATATTTTCTTAAAGTTTTTTGAGTTTAACAATCTTGTTTCCCATAAAAATCTTATTTTAAACATATTTTTGAAAATTTTTGTCTTCTCTTAAAAAATATCGGCAGACAGGGGCCGCAGAAATCTTTCAACTTCTTTTTCGCTGTCCAGATTGGTACGTAAATAAAACATATTTTTGTACATTTGCACTGTAGTAAATTTAAAAATTTACATTTTATTGATTTTTGTACAAAAAAGTTCGAGTAATAATCCCTCCTTAACGGGAAACACTCACAGAAGAAGAGAGTAGAAAAGCTCGAAAATAAAACATTAAATTAAATTTTCATACAAATAATTCTTCTAGGCTAAGAAATTATGGTAGTTTTGTGCTTATGGTACCTAATGAATGTTGGGAAAATATATACATATATATGTATGAATGTGCGTATGTATTTTTATGTGCCGTTAATAGCACTTGAATTCGTTTAATAAATTAACTCTTAGTTTTTCTTCGTTTATCTTCACCATATTTTTCTAGGTTCGCGTTGATTAAGTTATACTATGTATGTATATGAATTTCAGTTGTTGTTGTTGTTTTTTCGTAAATTGAAGTTTCATTATGAAATCGATTAGTAAAGTTTCTCAGTGATCTTCACTTTACCATATTTGCCATGGAGGGCATGACGAGCGAAAGCAAGAAGGTTACCATGATGCGCATCACCAGGATATACCTTGTGCACCACAGCGGCATGTGTGTGATGACTGTGAACATGAGCAGGAACGTGATGCACCAAAGCGGCGTGATGATGATGGTGATGATCAACCAAATGAGCATGATGATCCAAATGTTCGTGGTGATGCAGGAGTGGGCCGTGATGCACTTCAGCGTGATGCAAGTCGTGAGCGACGAAATGTTCATCATGATGATTATCCTGATGAATGACATGATGATCAATCACGGGCTTAACATAGTGCAAGAAGTGATGAGGCTCATGATGCACAACCTTGGTGACATGATGCACCGGCTCAACGTGGTGAATGGGTTCGTGGTGCACAATTTTAGCTGCTGCAGCGGTGTGGTGTACGTCATGATGCACATCATGGTGAACATCATGCACAATTGGATGCACATCGACATGGGCTCTATGATCGTCATGGTGATAGACAGGATGTGAATCGATGTGTTGTGCTGCGCCGCCAGCATCGATTACAATGGCAGAGGAGTGACCCAGGTGAATGCCACTGCCATGTGGTATATCAACATGATGAGCGCCTTCAACGATGTGTGCGTCATGATGGTCATGGTGTGGCAAAAGGCCGGCGTTGGCGGTGGCGGCAAGAGCGAATGCCAAAATGCAGATCACGGACTGTAAGGAGTGAAAAGAGGAGAAAATTTGGTGGTGAGTTGAGAGCTTTATAAAATTTCATTCAAATAATTTTGTTAAAAAAGTTTTTTGTTTAATATCAGTTAATTTTTTTATGTTTTTATTTTGCTTTTCATTAATATTCTATAGTATTACTTTACTTATTTATTGTTATTATTATATTATTTAATTTTTTAAATATTTTAATTATATTTATTATCGGTATTAATTATTCCTATTTTTTACATTACTTTTTATTTATAATATTATAAATTGTTATATTTTAACTCAATGAATTTTAATTTATTTTGTTTTGGTTCACCTTGGTTAAGTTTAGAAAACGTTGCATTAACGAATATTTTTTTAATAATTTAACTTAATTTTTGTAAGTTTACATTATTTTGATAAAAATATTTAATTTTTTTTTTAGTTTTATTTCATATTCTTTTCTTTTTTTTCAACACATATTTTGATGTAATTCCGCTGTATGTTTTTCTATTTTATTAGATTTTTTATTATTCTATTTTATTTCATTTTAACTCATTTATTTTAATTAGTTGATTTTCATTTAATTTAATTTAATTTAATTAATATTATTTCATTTTTGTTTATTTATATTATTTTATATAATTTTATTAAGTTTTGTTTATTTAGACTGTTTTATATCATTTTATTTTAATTTTTATTGTATATTTTTTTATTTTATTTCATTTAATTGGCTGTCTTATATCAAATTATAATTTTTGATTCATATATTTTAGTTTGTTTGATTTTCACTTAAATTTATTTTGGTTTATTTTAAATCATTTTTGTTTATTAATTTAATGTTATTTAATTTTGTTTTATTTTATTGTGTTTTATTTTATATTATTTTGTTTTATTTTATTATAATTTATTTTATTTTATTTTATTTTATTTTATTTTATTTTATTTTATTTTATTTTATTTTATTTTATTTTATTTTATTTTATTTTATTTTATTTTATTTTATTTTATTTTGTTTTATTTTATTTCATTTCATTTTATTTCGTTTCATTCTATATTATTTTATTTTATTTATTTCATTAAATTTAATTTTTTTTAATAATTTTTATATAATTTTTAATTTTTCAATTTTTGTTAGTTTATTTTATTCTATTTTATATACTTTATTTAACTTTAAATAATTTTTTTTTAAATTTCTATTTATTTTATTTTATTGTTTTTGTTTTATTTAAGCTATTTTTTTAATTAAATTTGTTTTGTTTTATTTGATTTTTTTTTTTTTTGTATTTTTTTACATTTACTTATTATTACATTTTTTTATTTAAATATTTTATTTTAATTATTTTATTTTATAATTTATTTTTATTATGGAATAATTGTAGATTTTTTTATTATATTTTAATTTAGTTTATGTTTTATTATTAACTATGAATTTTTTTTTTTGTTTTGAAGCACACACCTTCATTACTAAGATTTCACGCTTAATTTCAATTGAAACAAAATATTTAAGACACGAACGCGAACTCCGACTTTGCTGTCGAACTGAGTGAACTCAACTGATGCCCACTTCGAGTCTCCCACGCATTTTTATACAAATTTCAATTTGTGGTCTTACAAATTACCGTTACCACATTTAATGTTATCAACAGCAGTATTTCAAAATTATTTTAATTTGGCTTACTTTAATTGAGTACAAATAAATGCGGCACTCATGAAGTTAACATCGCTCTCTTCATACAATGTTGCTGTCGCTGTTGTTGCATTAACAGTCTGTTAAGGGCGCTCATCGATTGCAGATATGTAAAATGCAAGGCACGTGCCAGCCAAACTGCCGAAATAATATAGGCTTTTGTTTTTGTTGCTTTCAAATGAAAATGAAATGCCTCTGTCCGCAGCTTAAGTGCGCGCACACAACGAAAGTGACATTAAAGTAATGAAATGTTGGGCATGCGCGGCATATTAAACAATGCGCAAGAGTTAAAAAGCCTAAAAGAATTCTACAATAACACGGTTATTGTTGTAGTAACCTCTTTTTTGTTGTTGTATGCAAAGTACAGCGTAGGAGTTTAGCATAAACGTCACTTTTGAAATTTAATCGTGCAAATCATGCGTATGTACATATGGTCATATGTATGTATGCCCGGCGGCCTAAGCAATCGTAAATTACATAATACGGTAGTAAAATTTTTGTATGTTGCCTTGGAAGACAATTACTTAATTTAATTACTTTATTATTCATTGTTTTTTTTTTTGTTTTGTTTCACCAGTCGCCAAATTCAATAGAAATGCCATTACGCACTCGGAAGTGACATAAATTTCAATTTCTTTGCTCTGAGACAATGCAATACACCCACAGCACTTATTTCTTACATGCATACATATGTATATGTATGTATTTATTTGGCTGGCAGTTTTAACGCCCTGTAGGCCACTCGGAGAGCGCAGCTGTTGGCTGCTGACGAACAGCTGGTTCGATGCGCGCGCTGGCTTGCCAAATTTTTATGAATTTATTTGCGCTGATTTGTTGCTGTTGTTATTGTTGTTGTTGTTGTTGTTGTTAAACACAACTAAGTATGCGCCACCGCTTTGTTGTTGTTGTTGTTGTTGAGTAGAAATATTCACAAATTTCAGCCGCCCTCCCGCGTTTGTTTAAAATTCTGCTTAACGCTCCGCCGTTGTATTGGGCAAATTTTCCAGCAAAACGGTTAGTGAAAGCTTTTATTGCTGTACAAAAAAAAAAAAAAAAAAAAATATTCATATAGAAACAGCCATACATATATTTTATATGCAAACAGTAAGCCAAACGTTAGACATGTTTATAAATCATGCATTGGCGTAAAGTATTCACAAATGTACAAACATACATACATAAATACTTGAGTTTGTATGTACGAGTATATTTTGCGCATAGCTTTGTGCTCCCTTTGCGCTTTGTTTATTGCATATCGTTCGTTATCATCGCTGACCGACTTAAAATTTATAGCAAAACCAAAAGGAAAAAAGGAACTATCAAATTTAAAATCTAAATATTCATCACCATTCGCTGGTGTAGGTACGTGTTTTGGCGTGCAACCGTTAGATTGGCATATAGGCGTTTAGCGTTTGGCGCCGATAGCGACCGTAGCGCTAGTAAGGGGTATTTTTAGTTTTTTTCACCGCGACATTTTCTCACTCACTTTTAATAATTCGTTTTCCTGAGTTGACATCAGCGGAGTTAAGGAAACACTTTTTGGTTAATTTTTGGCTCCTTTAATTATTTTTTTTTTTAATATTTTTTTTATATATTTTTTATTGCAATTAATATAAACACACATGAAAGGACTTAAGAATTTTATATAAAATTAATTGAATTTTTACCATTTTTTAAAGCATTTAAACGTTTGCAGTTGGTTCCACCATAACTAAGGAGGCCTGCTCCGCGATCAATTCCTCGGCGCCCTTTTCACATAATTTTATTGACTCAGTTTTTTATGTTCCTCAAATGTGAATTTGATTCTTGGCTTCATCATAGTCGAATTATCAGGCGCCTATTCCCTCGTCGACGTTTCGAAGCTCGAACTTGCCATTTTCACCTGTGGCACTTCCAATATTTAAGGAGGCTGAAGAAGTAGCGGCCGCGGTAGCCGAGTGGTTAGTAGTGCGTACCCAATAAGCTATAGAAAAATTATTTAAATAAAAAATTAAGTCAGCTTTTTTAACTGCGATCGCATTTCGACAGCGGTTCGGAGACGGCTTGGTATAAACTGTAGGTCTAACCAGTTGTTGCAGAAACCATCAAAACGCATAACCACAAATTGGAGGAGGAGCTCGGCTGAAAATCGGTTCAGCTGTTACAAAGCTATCTCCATCATATATGAAGGTGCTCCATACTGCTACGTAACGTCATTCCATTAAATAATGCCAGAATTCAGTCAGTATAGTTACATTGGCTTACGTGCGGAATGTTTAACATTCTGTCCAAAGCCGAGACTCACAGGACTCCCTAGTAACCGCGAAAGCGATGAGAGTAATGGATTCCATGTCAACTTAACTGGAGTTCTTCTTCTTCTTTACTAACGTACGCGATTGTAGCCGAATCAACGTTATTGCGCCACTTAATGGGAAAGGCTATGTACAGCCAGGTGCTTCTCTTCCTGGTCTTTCCAATGGTCTTCCTCTGTTTCCACCGGTGGGTACTGCATCGAAAACCTTCAAAGCTGGAGTATTCCTATCCTTCCGGATCACATGACCTCGCCGGGGCAACCGCTGTTTTTTGATTTGCTGTACTATGTCAATATCATCGTATAGTACAGCTCATCGTTCTCGAAGACTCCTAGAGCCAGCTCATCAGATGTTGACATCGCCATATAGCAGGACGGAAACGATGAGCGACTTGTAGAGTTTGATTTTCGTTCGGCGAGAAAGGACTTTACTTTTCAATTTCCTACTCAGTCCAAAAGTAGCAGCTATTAGTAAGAGCGACTCTGCGTTGGATGTCCAAACTGACGTTATTATTGGTGTTAATGCTGGTCCCAAGATAGACGAAGTTATCTACGACTTCAAAGTCATGGCTGTCAACAGGGAGCCGAGTCGCGATGACTGTTTGTTAAACAGGAGTTAGTTCGTTTTGTCCATATTCACTACCACACTCATACCCAACGCGTTTTCAACCAGTCTGAAGTAAGCAGAACGCGATTGTTAAGCCCAATAATTTCAATATCAACGCCATACGCAGGCAGCTGTACATGTAAAGGAAAAGTGAAAAACAGCAATTAGTGAAAGCGGTCCACATGTAGCTTAATGGGATATCCATTCGCTCGTGCTGTCGGCATCCCAAGTTCGAAACCAATTCGAACAAAAGTGTCTGGAAAACGAAGTCTGATGAGGAAATGTGGTGGTTTCCAAAATAGCAGCTGTAACTTCTACCATCCAAAACTATTGTTGTAATTTTTTCACTATTTCCAAAAAATATTTGTGCTGAAATAGTTCCATAAAAAAACGAAAATTGTTTATATTTTGTCTATATGAAATTTGGAAAAGCTTTTGCCTGGTGTCCAAATACATACATACATATTTTCCATGCCACACAACCATGTGAAATATTTTAAATCATTTTATTTTAGTATTTATTACACATACAACATTTAAAATACTACAATAAATCAAATAAATAAATAAATAAAATACTATTCACACATATTTTTATATAAAAACTTTGTATTGTTTATAAATTTCTAGACCATAAATTTAGTTTAAATTACGAAAAAAAACTCGCAGCCAACACTTGCCTAGTTTATTTGCAATAACAAACAAAAAAAAATTCGCAGAGTTATTTTTTTGTTTTAGAATTTTAAAAATCTATTCAACCGGCACTGCTGCAACACTTGCGCGCTAACATAGCTTATGATTTGTGGCAACATTTTGAAATTTATCACAAATCACAACGTCAACCGTTGAATTATAGCGCTTTTGTGCATGTGATGCATACATACAAACATAACATGCTGTTGTTGTTGTTGCTGTTGTTGTTGTTGTTGTTTTTATACATTATATTATTGTTAATTTGTTGCAAGCGTCGGCGGCGGTGGCGGTGATGGTGTTGCCTTTATTGTTGGCATCATTAAATTAGCTGCTAAACATTTCATCACATTCATTAGATCATGCACCGCATATATATATATATATATATATATATATATATATACATATATATATGTGTGTATGCGTGTGTGTGTAATGCATGTACTCGTCATGTGCACATTTTTAAATGCATACATATGTATAATATTATATTTTTAGTGCAATATCTGCCTCATTGGCTGCCTTTCAACCGCGCCCCATACACAATTCCTCTTGAAAATATTTGCATTTTATAATTCTTTTCTGACTTTTATTTAAACTTTTGCTAACATTTTTGTTTTTGGGTTTTTATTTTCTTTAAAATTCTTTTTATTTTTTATTTAATTTTTTTCTTTTTCCTTCTACAACTACAACAAGTTTCTTTATGATATAAACATGAGTTATGTTTCGTCTAATTACCATGCTTGCCACAATGCGCCGTTAATTGGCTAAACGACGAATGTACACCGGTGTTTGGTTTGTCGGCCATGTAAATGATTGGGCGAATGCCAGACAGGCCAAAATCAGTCGCACATTGCGGACATAAGATTTACATGTCCTACGGCAGCTCAGCAGGCAACTGGCAGTTGTACCGGCGGCAGTGAAGATGTGCACTGATGCATTTGTTGTACTTCTATTATTGTTGTTGTTACTGTTGTTGTTGTCATTGTTGTTGTTGTTATTGTTGTTGTATGCGATGGTGGTTGTCATGTAAGTGTCGTCTGCGTATTTCAGAAATTATTATTAGAAGTTGAACACCTTGACCGATTTCTATTTTTAAAAAATATGCTTTGTGAATTTTTAAATACTTTAAATAACTAAACGGCGATTATTGTAGTAGCACTTTCGGGCGGAATGATACTAGAAACTTCGTTAGAAGAAGATCAAACCATACCTAGAAGCTCCCACAAGTGGGGAAAGTTGTTGACAGCCAATCATCCGGAAGTGGCCAA